ATTTATGTAAACCATTTTAATTTTTTCGAGAAAAATAAGAAACTTCCAAGGGCTTGTACTAAATAAATTTTCCTGGTCCTGTCATCGTACCCAAGCCCTGCTCGGCGCCAGGTAACGAGGTATTGTGAAATACCAAATTAATAATCGGCTATCGTTTGAGGGGCTCGAGCGATCAGAATATTGAAATTAAGCCAATAAAGGATATTTGACATTGATTGCTATGAAAAATTGACGGAATATTTTTTGGTTCACGTACAGTTCTGGCTGCACGTCAAGCTATGCATAACCAGTGTAAACTGATCCTTGATTGCGTGGATAGACCATATATAGCGAGACCATGATAAATTGAATTCGTATGGCTTGATTTGTAGTTGCAGCTACATTTAATATGCATGAGCCGTAACTGATTTGAATGGAAGCGTTTTATTAATTGTTAACTGACGATATATAGGTATATTATTTGACTGTAATAGCAGATGATTTCTGTGTACTTGTCCGTTTTTTTTATAAAAGCAATTAAACATATTTGTAACTTTACCTGTCAAATCAAATACAAACTAGAAAGACCAATCAATGAATGTCTACAGAATTGTTGTCCACTGAACATACCTAATGTGAAGGTTTCATTATCATACATTATAGTATTACATGGCTACTATTTGGCCATTAGTAGACATAATGCCCTATTCTTTGTATGCAATAAAACCTAAAATAAACAATAAACTCTACAAGTACCTACCTATATAAAGCATTGTTCCACGGAGTCACCGGCGAGGCGTGATTCAACCACCTGATTGATGTGCACGACTGTACTGTGCGACCAGTGCAACCAGACCCTTCCTACCTTCATTAACAATCTCACTCAGTTTTACAAGCAAAGGTCAAAGTATTCTGGATACCTCAGACAAATTAATCACAGTGTCACTGGAGTATCTAGGTGGTTTAGAAACTGGCGGTATATTGGATAAAATTATGTGTTCCTTTGTGGTTTTGTCTAACAAACAAAGTACTATATGTTAGAGCAAAGCTAATTAATGATATTAAGTACTAGTTATCTAAAAGAAAATGTTCTAAGTGGAACACTACAGTGACTCGGGTATGTAGTTTGATAACTTAAGTGTGTACTTGGTGTCTTACGAAGCTGGATGATGGAAAATAGGCGTTAAGACATTAGGAACATCGTATTATTTTACATGACACATACCTACCCTCACGCCTGTCTCTCATCTAAGCGGAGAGTATGGAACGCCAATTGCTACGATTGCTACATACCTCTTTCCCTTCACCAACATTCGTCAGTCTTTGAATGTGCATAAATATTACTTGTATTATAATATTTCTCATTTTAAGACGATTTTAGACGAAGATTTTATACCTAAAAAGTTTGATCCAGGGAGAGAAATCATACAATGACTTCTTACGCCATTATCTCTTGATTGAGACGGGAGATAGTGTCATAGTCTTACTCACTAAATACCACCGTCTCTACTCTTGCTTCGAGTCGCAGTCCCGGCAACTTGCTAGGTCGTCCACAGCTCCGATCATAGTTTAGAGGTAATATTTGCAGTATCACGTTAATGTGACACAATTAAAATAGAAAAAGGAATTTAGTAAAATCTTGAATAACAATATATTCTAATTAGTATAGAAGCTTACGTACCCTGCAATTAATTAAGCTTATTGTATTCAGTAAGTACGGAGCCTAAATCTAATTTATCGTAGAATGTCTGCCATTTACACTCCACAATCCAGTAAAATATAAACTAATACGAGATCTTTAGTTAGGATGTGTTCTGAATGACAACGTATTGCGGGTATACATTCATCTATTATTATTAAATTACGATTATTATTATTAAAAAAGTAAAGAACTTAATGCATATTGCTTAACAGTCGGTCTTTAGGTGATGCAGAGATGAGAGTGGGTGATTTTGAAATTCCTATAAAGAAAGTAGAGACAAGAATCTCCATGCTGAATTGAAGAGATACAACATACAGGTGTGTGACAATAGCAACTTCAAAGTCATATTTATTCTTTTCGATCTTGTACTTTATTTTATTATTTTTAATACATAGAGCTAAATTGTTTGTTTTTTATTTGCGTTTATCTCCGGAACTATTGGTTGGAATTGAATAATTATTTTTGTGTCGGACAGTTTATTTATCTAGAAAGGTTTTAGGCTATTAAACATAACGCTACGGTCAATAGGAGCCGAGCAAAGCAGGTGAAACCGCGCAAAAGCAGTTATTTAAACACAAAGGAAACTTCGTCATGTTAATCTTAGTATTTACCTCACGCAATCTGTAACCGGTAAAAAAGTAATTCCTTAGGCTAAATTAATTTATTCTTTCTTTGTACATTTAACGTGGCCATTTTCCTTGATAGTGTAGTAATGTTAGGAGTTTGTGAGCCTTACTTACTCCGGCGTTTTATTAGTTCCTCACAAAACCCTTAATGGCGGGGTGTGCCGAATTACTCCAGTTAATTCACACTGATATCTTTAGAGGGCCATAAAATCTTCTTCTTGAACTGATTGTAAATGATATCAACATTTTACTAAAGACTATGACGTGAGCTATGTTAATCTTTAAGTACGTATATGTTACTTTGTGGATTCTTTTTGAAGAATTACTTAATTACTTCAAGTATTTATCATTTCAATTTGGATAAAAAGTTAATAAAATTTAGGTTCGTATCATATTTTTTATGATATAAACCGGGAAAAAAGCAGACGGATGGTAAGCAATCGGCATCGCCTATGTACACCTGGAACACCAGAGGCGTACAAAGTGCGTTACCGGCCTTTTGGGGATAAGGAATTTGAGAATCGTTGGGGATTGAGGAATTACGGCGATTGGGGAAAGGGGGGGGGGTAATTGGGCCTCTGGTAACCTCACTCACACGACGAAACAAAACGCAAGCGTTGCTTCACGTCGGTATTCTGCTCGGCCGTGGTATCACTCCGGTCGAGCCGGCCCATTCGTGCCGAAGCGTGGCTCTTCCACACTTAATTTTTATTCATCGTAACATCTAGCCCAGCTAGTTAGAAGTCCCGTGTAACAGGGGGTTGGTGTATTATTCTATGTTCGATGCCATTGATTATTATTTTTAAACTATAATGCATTAAATAAAAAATCACAATTGAAACTATGTACATCTGAAATATCAACAACGAAATGCAAACTTTGTTTTTTGATGTAAGTAAGTACATGAATTATCTAGGATTGATAAGTCGGTGAATTTGTCCCCGAGCCGCGGGCAGACAGACATTAACGTCTGCGTCTGTCAAATCCCCAGATAACTTAGCTATGGAAAATATTTCTTTAGAAATGTTTACATGTAGGCTTTAGATGACTACTTTCGAGGACTGGACTAATTCAACAGACAATTTCTGAAAGATTCAATTTTCTGCCTCGTTGACCGAGTGGTCGCAAGTGCGATTGCCGGGCAAGGGGTCTCGGGTTCGATTCCCGGGTCGGGCAAAGTATTACTGGGTTTTTACAAAATTCTCAGTAGTAGCACGGAGTCTGGAATTGTACCTGGTATATGGCAATAGGCTCACCCCCTATTACATGGGACTCATAACATAAATAGTGAAAAGTGGGTGTTACTTTGTACCTCTACAGTGGCATAATGTGCACCTCTGCCTACCTCTTCGGGGATAAAAGGCGTGATGTTATGTAATTCAATTTTCTTTAACATTCATTCTGTGACTACAGTTAGAACCGTTTATTAAATAACGATGATAGTAATGGTATTACAGAAAGAAAAGAGACACGTATATACATACATAATATGGTCACACCTGTCTTCCATTGCGGTAGGCAGAGAAAAATGAAACGATTCTGGTACACCTCTTTCGCTTCATCTACATTCAACGATCTCTTGATCGTCGATTGAGGGTTGAAACATATACGTAGGTACATAAATAGGTACATTAATTAAACCGGAGTTACCGGAGGCCCAATTACCCTCCCCTTCCCCAATCGCCTCAATTCCTGAATCCCCAACGATCCTCAAACTCCTAATCCCCAAAAGGCCGGTAACGCACTTGTAACGCCTCTGGTGTTCCAGGTGTCCATGGGCGACGTCGATTGCTTACCATCAGGTGATCCGTCTGCTCATTTACCGACTTATAAGACTTTTAGTTTTTTTTTCCTCCTTGGCAACCGAGTCTCCAATAATTTAGTTATATAATCACCTAATCTGATGGACTGTAGGTAAAAACGAACCGTTAAATTACTTGCATCTGCATAAACACTGTTCATGAGATTAGGATTAATATGAAGTACTCCGAAACGAATTACTTTATTACAGTAACACATTCTCGTTACTTATAAAAATATTATAATACTACAAACATTACAATTTGATCTATAGATGTGTTGGAACATTCGTTTATATATTTCCCCGCCTTTGTTTTTTTGAGGGGGATAATCATCCAATGAATTCTCCCGCCTTGGGGCGCCTTGGGCGAGAGGGAGTTTCAGACTCTTACTGACTAAAAACCACCCCGTTCCTACTCCTGCTCTTCGAACCGGAGCCACGGCAACACGTTAGGCCTTCCGCGATATTTTCCCAACTTGATAGTCATTAGCACATTAACTAGATTCTGACGTCTAATATTCATATTATCCAGAATTGACTGTAATATTATGTGTCTTTCATAGCATCTAAGCTCTGTTTGGATTTTGGAAAATCCAAATGGAAATGAATGTTAGAACCTTTAACTGCCAACAATGGCCGCCATAGATATTTGTATGACTACTTATGTCTACTAAATTAAATCATGTACAACGTACATAGGAATCAATGGTCAAGTACATATTATCCACGTACTAAGAAACCTTAACAAGCCAAATACAACAGGGTAAATCTTTTAATTTCAAGTGGAGACAAATGATTTAACTAGGCACTTAGTCATTAAATAATCTCATTACTGTAAATTGATTGAGTACAACAGAAATGTTAACCTATGTATTAAGTTAGCCACCATCACAGCACCAACATCGGTCACAAGAAGTTAGCAATATGGCGGACTCCCGACACGTCATAATATGTGCACTAGTTGTAGTTGGTGCACTTTGTTCCAGACCGAGTGTTCCCGAGGGTAACGACGACGATATATTATATATCGATAATGATATTGTACTAGGGATGGGTCCACCAACTTGTGACTATTCTAAAGGTATGGATTCAGTTTCTATGTAAGTATGATTTTTATGGCATAAGCTGGTAAACGCGCAGACGGATCACCTGATCACCTGATGGTAAGCAATCGGCGCCGCCCATGGACACCTGAAATACCAAGGTGTTACAAGTGTGTTCCCGACGTTTTGGGAATTGGGAATTTGAGGATTGTAGAGGATTCGGGGATTGTGAGACTGGGGAGGGGGAGGGGGCAATTAGGCCTCCGGTAACCTCACTCACACGGCGAAACACAAGGCTGTGGTATCACTCCGGTCGAGCCTGCCCATTTGTATCCACGATTAATTTGTATGACCATTAATGTTTAGGTACGTAGAAAAAATCCAATTTCAATTTCACTTTATTATTTTTTATACTCAGAATAAAAGAAGAAATAAAAAAAAAACATTTATGTTCAGCAGTGAACGGAAATGTCTTGATGCTAAATCCCTGGTTAAAATCTAAGGCTAAGACGCACAAAGGTTCAAAAGACTGCTGTTTTGCAAAGAACGAGTGTATCAAAAATTGTGACCTAGATTAGGTAATATATGGTCTGACCGTGGCTATACTTAAGTGATTGCTTACTCACATAGTACTCAAAAATTGATAGCCTATTAATCTATGCTATAGGAACTGTAGTTAGTAATCAAATGATTGAAAAAGTACCTAAGGATAATTATCATCATTATTTGTATACAGGGATATATAACCCCAATTTAATACCAGATACAGAGTGGCCGTTTTACGTACGAAGTAACGCTGTACAAACTCGATATATAGTTCCAGTTAATATGGTAAATAAACTTTTATTTTAGTCATCTTTCATTAGAAATGTCAATGTTTCGCACACTATATCGTATCGTAATTTTTTCGTTATGGATGATATACATTGGTATATCATAGTGGTCTATCATCTATATTGATAGATGATAGACCACTATCACAATATTATTAAAGCGGTAGGTACAATGTACAATGGGGGTACATCCGCCTGACCACCACTATGTTAATGTTTGCTTACACCTGATGTTTAGATCAGTTCTCTAGCCGGCGCATGTAGCCGAACAACAACAAACGCATTACAGACATTATCGCTTTCTATTAGTTGAGACGTTTATGGTGTATGACTGACTGACATACTATTATTTATTTTGTATTTGTTGACGTTTCAAAAGTACCAAACTATGGTTTAATTGAAATAAATGCTTTGACTTTGACTGTGGCATGATGATTTTGCCAGGTTCAAGCTATTCAATTTTAAAATGATCAATCTGGTTTGTCCTAACTGTACGTTAGATACGTTTCGTATACAAAATCAATGGATTAAGATCAATTTTTTGGGAGAGTAAGCAATTATATTCGGCGGTTATGAGAATATAGACAATCCGAGCCGTGATATGGACAATATGGTGTGCGAACGGAATTTTGCATCAATATATTATTATATGACTTAACATCACGCCTTTTATCCCCGAAAAAGCAGGCAGAGTGCACATTACGAAACTTAATGCCACTGTACAATGTAACACACACTTTCCACTATTTATGTTACGAGTCCTATATAATAGGGGTGAGCCTATTGTATTTATATTGATTCACTAACAAAGGTCATAGGAATCCGTCAGAGGCCGGTTGCTTCGACCGACGCATCTGGAAGTCTGTGTGGGAGGGTTATGTTTAGAAGTGGCTGATATGTGATGATGATGATATTGATTATGATTGACTGGCAATTCCGTCGTCCGTTTACCTTTACACGGCGCAGATATCTATACTAAGATTAATAATTTTAACTGTTTCAGGGTATAATATACTAATACTAAGATTAATAATTTTAACTGTTTCAGGGTCTTCATAGGTGGCCGATTCATGCAGCTTATGTATGTGTCAAAATGCCAAAAAATAGTAAATCGCAAGTAAAGTTTGTTAAAATATCGGTAAAGAATAAGGTGGCAGTTGTGACAATCAGATTAAAAAATGCAACACGAGAAGATGTACCAGTATCAATCCAAATATTCAATAAAGTATCCAACTCTAAACATACATCATTAGATATAGACAATCTTGATGATAGTGATGTTAAAAAAAATGAAATTGATTCTGCCATTGACTTCGTTGTCTGGGAATAAAGACTTCCATCAGTGTTAGGGTTGTTTTAGTTGTATCGTATTTTCTAAGGTGTATTCGATTGGTTCACTACTTAATTCGTTGTATTGTCTGATCGCAACAGACTATTACAGACATTTCTTTTCGTTTAATATAATAAAAAAATCGTTTATATATATATATATATTTCGTTTTTATATATAAAAAATTTCGTTTAATATAAATAAACGAATTATTATTAATTTAAACCTATTCTAAATCTTTTCTCGGGTCTCAAATTATATGTATATGTTGTTTATTTTTATAATAATTATTATTTATTTATACAGATGTATAGATGCGTGTATTTAAAGTAGGTTATATAGTACACTTTTTATTTATTTTTAATTTTGTTTTAAGTTATCTAGAAGAAATTATCATTGAGTGATAAAACAGCACCGCTTCGCCCGCGTGCTTCTGGGATAAAGAGTGCCTTGTGTGTTATCCCATAATTTTCCTCTGTTCTTTTCATCCTGATCCTTTCCACCTGGCTTAGTTAGCCTTCAGCCAACACGTTTAGTTGACATTACCACAATTAATGCAAAGTATAAAAGCGTGTATTCAAAACCTTCACGTTCTCCTTTCCTAATCCCCATATCTCTCAATTCTCAAATCCCAAACCCCTAAAATGGTGTAGCGGGTGAACACCATGGACGGTGCTGATTGCTTACCATTAGGCGGTACGTGAGATTGTTTGCCGGCCTATGCTTTAAAAAAATATAAAATGCTTATGGACTTTTAAAAACGACTGTACTCAACCTATCGTTTGATAAAACCCAACTGTTAGCTAAGTGCTTTTATAAGAAAAATATTTAGTGTGTGCTGAAATATTGTCAAGGTTGGTTCAGTTTATTTTATATCACCACGTTTATCATAAAAAACACGCGGAGACGAATTTAACACTACATAAAGCCAAGGATACACTAAAGGATACGTGTCCTTTGATATGTATCGGTGACATGTCAAGTGAAGCCTGACATAATAGGGTAGATGCCTAATTTTTAATTGAAAATCCGTCTGGTAGATTATTTTAAATCATTACACACGTATTTTTTATTTTCTTACAGAAACGAATACTTTCGACGATATATTGATTTGAAATGTCGCGTGACGTCACTTCTATATACATTTTATACGTAGAATTGATGTTTTAGCCCCCACTCCTAAACTTTGATTCGTTTTATCTAAGTATTGATTTATTATACGACAAAATAAAAAAAATACGTGTCTCTTATTTTTTTATTACCTAACTTACGAACTAATTATATTTTTAATTTTCATATCCTGCTATCATCCCAATTATTAACACGCGCCCCACAATGACGTTGATGTTGCCAGACATGTCGACCAAAATCCGGCAACGTCGCGCTACCTCACCCAACGTCGCTGGGGACACGTGTCGCAGGACATTTTGTCCCTAGTGTTGTAGTGTTTCCTTGGCTTACCTTTATTCTTGTACAAGCAAGCTTCCATAGTGTCTTGAATTATCTGTTGTACGGTAATGGGTGTACCTCTATTAAATGGGAGTCATATATAACATATAGCATCTCTCCATATTATTTTAGAGAATTATTAAAATTATACAA